GGAGCAGGGTGGCCGAGCTGGGCCCGGGGCCAGGCGTGAGGGAGTCACGGGGTGGTGAGGAAGAGGAAGGCTTGGAGGTGGGAGCACTGGCTGGAGCGTCGGTCTGCACAGCAGAGGGAAGAGCAGCCTCAGTGGCCGGACATCTGCCCGGGAGAGCGATCCCCAGCACCACACGCCTGCCAACAGCCTTGAACCACCCGGGAGGGGAGGCCGGCACCAGGGGGCACTGCTCTCAGACAGAGCTGGACAGGGACTTCGCCATCCTGGGCCTGATCCCCATGTCCCCACTCCTCCCCTTGGGTGCAAACACCCAAAACAAGCCCCAGTTCACCCCAAACCGCCATAATCCTGCACCCCGACAGCATCCTGCCAGCAGCAGAAGGCTCCACGGGGCCCTTACACAGAGATTTGCTGCTCCCTTGTGCAAAATCCCTCCTGTGTGGGGGGCACCCCCATCCCCAGCCTGCATGGAGCAGGACCAGGAGGATGCCTGGGACGAACCAGCCTCTCTGATCCCCACAGTTATTTCATTCCTTTCTTTTTTCTTGCCTCTCCTATTTCTTCCTCTTTTTCTGCCTGGGGATTTTGTCGACACCAGCAAAGGAAAAAAAATTAATAACAGAGAAAAGCTACGTGCTGTGCTGGCAGATTGCTCAGGGCGCTTTGTCTGCTCTAATCCGATTGTGCTGGGGAGCTGTCGCTCTCTGCTCCCTGCAGCCCCCAGCCGGCTCCTGACCCCGGGATGGCGGGGATGCATCGCTTTGGTCCCTGTGGTGGCTGGGAAGGCTGAGGAGTGGCAGGAACGTCCCTCCCCCTTCCCACATGCTGATGTTTCAATCTGAGCATTGGGCTGGTGCTTGGCAAGGAGGAAGGGATAAAATAAAAAAAAAAGAAAAAAAAAAAAGAAAAATCGATTGCTGAGAGCAGCTCTGGGGAATCCTGCAGGCAGCTGGATGGAAAATACCTGCAGAACCAGGCCTCTGCCTAACAGATGATCAGCCTCCCTCCAAGGGCACAGACCTCTGCTCCCAGTGCTGGGGAGTCCGGCAGTGGGTACCAAGCACTCGGCACCAGTGTCTCCTCGCCCACCTTTGGGCTGCAGCAGATGAGCCTCAGAGAAATTTGGGGCCACTTCCCCAACTCTGCTGCCCACCCACAGCCCAGGCTGCCCACGCTGCTCCCTACCAGACTCTGGTCCTTTGGCTTGGGGGGCGTCGTGCTCTGGCTAGAGGCAATGGAGGCAGGGCTCTCGGGCATCTCACGGCGGGCTGGTGGGAACTGGCTGCTGGGTGCACGGCTGGGGCTGCCGGGCTCTGAAGGGGGGTCCTGGGGGAAGAAGAGTCTCTGGGGAGTGGGAACCCCAGTCCCTCTGTGCAGGAGGGCAGGCACAAACAGGGGCTCCAGAGAGCCACCCCCGGGCCCAGAGCCCAGCAGGGCCTCAAGCCCCAGTCTGCTCCCCGCTGCCAGCCAGGCGAGCGGCTCATCCAGCCGTCTGCCTGAGTGACGCTAACGAGGAGCACCTGCTTAGAGGCCTCAGCTCTGCTCCACAGCCCCCTGGATGAGACACCTCCTTGATTTTTCCCTTTGAACAAAATTAGAGGTGATGGCAGATTCAGAGGATGCTGGTGGCCACAGACACCTTCACAAGGAGGGATGCTGACCAGCACACCCAAGGAACTGAGAAAGAGTCTCTTGGCAGCCCTTCCACAGCATTTCAGTGGCAAGGCCACCCATCAGCTCTTGCACTCCTATAACCATTCAATTAGGGCTGTGATTTTTATCACCATAATTACACCGACAAGCAGTTTTTGTAAGTGTCGTTTTCTGCAGAAATCCCTGCTGATGTTCCTTTCAGGGCTTGTTTTGGGAAGTGGCAGGAGGAAAAAAGACCACGTGTGTTGTTCCTCCTCCCAGTCTTCCAGGGGAGGAAAAGGGATGTCCCCAAAAACATAATCTCTGCCAAAAATAGCTGGGGCTGGGATAAAGTACTGATGTATCTGCCTTGGTGGTCAGTGAAGGTTGTACCAGAAGTGCCTGGCAGTTTGGTTGCAAGAGACTGAAATGCAGCTTACCCCCTGCACTGAGACACGGACACGGGCTCAGTGTGTAAAGACAAGGCTGCTTGAAGGCCGGGCACCGCAGGAGGCTGCCCGGACGGGGGCTGGCAGGGCCGGGCTGGGGGCATGCCGCGAGCTCGCCTGCCAAAGGCAGCTCAGCATGCCTGCTGCCTGCCTGCTCCTGCCACCTCCATGGGCATGAGCTGCCAACAGCAAGCCCAGCACCCTGGGGCTCTCATCCCAGCTTATCAGTCTCCCCATATGGGATGCTACAGGAGTCAGGCTGAAACGGGATTGTGCAGCGGAGCCAAGTCTATGGCTGGCAAAGCTGAGCCCTGACTGGCACAACCTTCAACCTGGAGCACTGCGAATGGGAATCAGCCTTGGCTGGCATCAACACACCAGAGCAGGGCTGGCACGTGTCCTGGCTGGCCTCTCCCACCCAGCAACAATGACCTGGAGCCTAACAAACCCCAAAGCTCAGGAAGTAGAGTCCCAAACCTGATGACTACAGCTTGAGCTGGATACCCTGCAAGACTTCAGTATGCCCTTAAAGGGTGTGGGTTTACCTCATCCACCACCAGGTTGTAGTCGCTCTTGTCCCCATCGCTATCCTGCAAGGAGGGGAGAAACATAGAAAGGCTCAGTCAGGAGTGGAAGGCGCTGGACCAAGCTCTGGGCTCTGCCCCATAGGACCCCAGCCAGAGACCCCATTTTCTCCTGCACATCACTTCTCGTGGACCAATGCCAGGCCCTGCAGGCAGCAACTCAACCCTCTGGCTGAGGGGCCTCCCCAGAGCTCTTCATTTTGTTCGTTTCTTTTTGCAGGATTACAGCCCTCTGCACCCAGGGCAGGCACAGAGCTCCCTGGCCACACTCCTTGGTGCACTCACATAATGCCCAGGCAGGTCCTTCTCCTCCCGCTTCCGCTTCAGCCCTGGGCCTCCTGTTGTCCGCTCCTCGTCCTGCAGGCTCTCGGGAGGGGAAGCAGAAAAAAGCCAGAGAGGGGGAGAGGAGAGGAAGGCGTGTGAGCCAGCGGGAGAGCAGACAGCCTGCAAAGCCCTGACAGACGCATTTCTTCTCCAGAAGAGACCTCCCAGTGCTGCTGGCTGCACCCAGCCGGTGTGAGCATCCAGCCAGCTACCAGTGCAACCTGTGCCACAGCCAGTTGGGGAGGCAAGGGTCCCCTTCCCCCACCAAGTGGGTGTCAGGGCTAATGAGGGAGGCACTACTCTCCCCCTCTGTGCAGACACCTGTGGCATCCCCTTACAAGCATCCCATGTACCCTTGGTCAAGAGTCCTCTAAGATCCAAATGTAGCTGGGCATAGAGATGAGGTTTACTCTGGTGCTTTACGCAAGGCTGGGGAACGTTTCCAGACCCCGGAGTTCTAGCCCAAATTCATCCATTCACCTCTGATGGGGCAGAGAGAAGGGAAGCAGGATGGGGATGATCCCTGTGGGTTGGCTGCCCACAGTCTCCTGGTGTGACAGATCCATTTTCAGGGTGCTCAGACTCACCTGTATGCAGCCCCAAACTGCCATCACCTCCCTTTCCCAGCTTGGCCCCAGAACAACTGCAAAGTGAGCTGCCCTCACCCCTTCCCCAGCCCACCCCTCACCTCTCAAACCCGGCCAGGCCCCAGGCCCCACGCCCCAGCCCCTCCCCAGGGAGAGCGCGGCTGGTCCATCAGCCCATCACTGCCTCCACCCTGGCAAAGCATCTTCCTGGCTGGTGGGCAGGAGGAAGAGGGCGAGAATAAAGCCCTGTCCAAAACCCCAAAGCCACAGGCTCCCCTTCCTTGACAGAGCAGAGGGGTGGGCAATGGGGCAGGGGGCCAACAGCCCCAGCCGGCTGACGAGCCCTGCTGTGACAGGGATGGGGGAGGACGAGGAGTGACAGCCGTGCCCTGGCCCAGCCACTGGCAGGCAGGGCTGTGTGAAGCCAGGAGCTGAGCGAGGCAGCATCCCCAGCACGGCTGGAGAGCAGATCCGCCCCTTTGGGAGATAACAAGTCATGGTGGAGTGGAAAATCCCCATCTGAGACGTGTTTACTTCACCTTAACCCTGCTGCTGCAGGAGCCAGCGGGCTGGGAAGCAGGATGGGGCTGAGCAGGACAAACGCCGCTTCCCCGAGGTGCTGCCAGCAGACACAAGGGTGTCTCAAATGCCCTCCTGCCCCCACACGCACTGCTTGGAGGAGGATAATGCAATCAAGTGGTGCCTGCCCACCCGCAGCTCCCTGGCTCTCGTGTAAACCAGAGGAACACGAGCCTGACACTCGTTACCAGAGAGGCTGCCCTTCCTCCCAAGTAGCCAGGGTCCCTGGGCCGGGGCAGTTCCTGGTGCACACTCCCCGACCTTCCCAGGACCGCCCTGCAGAGCTGTTCCTGCCGTGGGTCAGGGAGAAAACACCCCATCCCAGGGCTCCCACACTGTCGATTGTTTCCAGCACAACAGGATTAAGAGCCTCGACACAGAACCACGGAGCAGAAAGGATGCTCCCTGTCCCCCGGGTGGTGTCTGGAGGAGGTACCTGGGTGTATATGGGATCACAGGGATGATCCATCCTGCACAACACAGCTACCATCTCTCCCTCCTCCTCTCCCACCTGACCGCAAGCCTCTGAAGATCGATGCCAATTGCTCCTCAATGGAGGAGCTCATTAACCCTTCCTTCCCCTGCCTGTACCAGGAGCTGGAGCTCTGGCTTACTGCAGCCATGGAGCCTGGCAAGGCAGTCACAGACCTGGGACCCATGACAGGCTGGGGGGCTATCTTAAAAGCGAGGGTGCAGCCAAGGGTTGCAGAGGGGCTGGCAGCACTGGGCTTAGGTAAGGGGACCTGTTCAGCCTGTTTCCTAAACTGGAAACTCCTTGAAAAGGACAGAGCTGGTTATTTCAAGAGCAGCCCTTGACCTTTAGATCCTTGCATCAGCAAAGACTCTGAATTGAGGTGGTCCAGAACCTTCAACTACAAAACCCTGATGCAAACACAGCCCATCCAAGCCAGCAAAGCAAAGGGAATGGGGGCTACAAGAAGCAGAGCCCCTTTGTCTTACATTCTCCGCTCAGATGTTCTCCTGGACTCCCCAACATCCCTATGCACACATATTCGCCACTTGGCTGCTCCCACCCTCCACACTGCAGGTGGATTTACTCTCCAGCCTGAAGCACTGTGAGTTCAAACACAGCTCTGTTCCACCCTAGGCACGGCTGCATTTCAGCACTGCCTCCACCGTGCCTGTGCTAGCGGAGCAGACACCAGCTCGGGTGCAGGAGCAGGTCTGGAGCCTGTGTGTTCGCACCCCTGGGGCTCAAGCTGGGTTTGCACATGCAGAGCTGTTCGCCAAAAGCACTGGGCTGCCCCTGGTGCCAGGGCAGAAGTGCTGGGCCCTGCTCAGGGGTGACAGCAGAAGGGCTGGACACTTTGTCCCAGATAAAAAAGGGTGGGAATGCATGGCTGGACGTGGGTCAGGGCCCTCTTCGTCAGGCTGGCCTAGAAGGAGGCTCTTTCTAGCCCTTAGGGAAATCAGCTCCACCGAGAAATAGGGATGACCCCAAAATTCCTCAAATCCAGAGACTTGGCCCAGCCTCGTGAGGACCCCTGCGCTGCTTGCAGGAGCGGGCAGAGCTGCCCCAAGCCCCTCTCCCCACCTACCCCCAGCTTTGTGGCTTGCCCTTACCTTCTTGCCATGCTGAGCCTTTGCAAACCCAGAACCCAGGGGAAGGCCAGTCCTGGGAGCCTGTCACCCTAGTTACCTTGTGCTCAAACACAGACAGCCTGGAAAGGTGACTCACGGTGGCAGGGGGAGATGTCCCCTGCCCTTATCCGCCAAGCTGGGGAGGGAAGGGGGGGGGAAAGGAGGCCACACATCTGGAGAAATGAATGGGAGACCCAGAGCCTGCAGCAGAAGGAGAGCAGGGTGCCTGCGCTGCAGCACACAAGGGAACACCATGGACCTGCCTTGCCCGCAGAGCTGCCCCCTGCCCCAAGTAGCCCCTCAACCCCAACGCCAGTCCCTGCCACTGCCTCCCCTCGTGATGGAGCACCAGACAGGGGACAGCTCGGCCACCTCTGTGCTGTTTGATTTGGAAAGGTCAGGAAACAACATTCCTGGAAATCCTACTGCCAGCGCTTGCCAAGGGAGCCGGCTGCAGCGCCTAGCTGCCCCAAAGCCAAGCCCAGCGTTGCCCCCGGGTGCCCTCCCCGCAGCTGGGCTCCCCCAGCACCCGCAGCCCTTCCCGGGGGCTGGCAGCCAGCTCTGCATCCCACCTGGAGCAAGCTGGAGGTGCTCAAAGTGCCTTGGGGATGGCAGGCTGCCGGGCAGGGCCCTGTGGGGGGAGAGCCTGACCACTTGCCCACCCCTTGAGGCCAGATGAGGCCACCAGCCAGGCCAGAGCCAGCTGTGCCGGCACGACTTACCCGGCTCGGGGTGCGCTCTGGAGCCCAGGTGGGAACAGGGAGAGTGTCCAGGCAGGTCCATGGCAGCGAGGCAGAGGGGAGGAGAGGAAGAGGCTGTTAATGCAGAGGCTGTGCCCCAAGTACCCGAATAGGGAGGAGAGGGGGGCACTGCAGGGCGACACGGGAGGAGACAGCGGGACATGGGCTGAAAAAAAAAAAAAAATCACACATGATTTCCCACTTCGCCCATCTGCAGCATGGATTCTCTGATGTCTAACAGGAGGTGAACACGTTGGTCTTCCTCAGGGAAGCAGGGGGGGGGTCTCCATCCACCCACCTACTTTCAAGAAATTCATCCCAGCTTTGGAATCCCTTCCCTGGATGGGGTGATGGGTCCAAGGCTGCCAGGAGGGGACGAGCCCGTCAGCCGGCCAGACCTCCTGAATCACACCCATCCTATTTCCTTAGGCAGCCATGATAAAAAGCCCTGCTTGGAAACCGTCCGAAGCCTTTTTACATGCTCAACAAAAGGGGCCCACCTCCCTGAGCTCAGAGAAGAAGTGCCAGGCATTTGCTACAGACCTAAGCAAGGGGTTATGGTCTGGGGTCTAGAAACCCTCCCTGACTGATTTTTGCTCCTAACGATCACATCAGCATTTGGAGAGAACAAACTTCTCCCAGTCTCTGCTGGCAAGAGGAGGCAAGAGGCTATCAGGAGATGATGGACCCTCTGTGTGGGCGGTTGCTCCGAGGCCACGGTCAGCACGAAGCCGGGGAGCGACCGGGTGCCTGCCGTCAGCACTTCAGCCCTGGCTCAGCTTGATCCACACCAGCTCCGGCTAACTATGGCAGAGCACCAGGGATTAACCCAAGCCACATGTAGCATTTAACTAACTTCTTTTTTTTTTTTTTTTTTTTTTTTTTAAACGGGATTATTCCGGGTGGTTTTGTGCTCTATGCCACAGCCCCTGCCAAGGAGCAGCTCCAGGCTGTGCGTGCTGAGGGCTAAGGCAGGCACAGCACAGCCGGCTCCCATCCTCTTTCTGGAGCTTGTTTTTCTCCTTCAGGGAAAAGCCATCCTTAAAGACATGCTGACAGAATTAATGCCACAGACACCTGCGCACAGGGGTGCAGAGCGGACACAGGCAGTTTCCTGCTGCGCTTTTCACCACCTTTAAACCTCACAAGCAAAACTGGATCATTAGGAAAATGCAACAAACCCCTCCACTGCCCAGAGTTGCTGTTACTGTTGGGTCCTGTCCCAGCAGCATCTCCAGGCCCTGAATCAGGGACACTGGGAGCAGCCAGCACCTTCCCCAGAGGAGCATCGCTACAGCTGCTAAATTTTACTACCTCTTTCTAGTCCATATTGCGGCTGTGCTGCCCAGAGCCCTCTGTCCGCACCTCAGGCTTCCTATCAGCAAACACACCCGCTGCCTGCACTCTGCAGAAAGTCAACTGAGCTCAGAGCAGCTTCTCCTTCATGCAGCACCTCAACGACAAGCAAAGCTGGGTGGTGTTATTAATTTGGCCCAGGCCTGCCAGTAGCATTCAGAGCACCAATTTAACGATGATTAAATATTGATGATGTTTGTAAAGCACTTTGTGACCCTGATAGGAGGCAGCACCCATAAGGATGAGGAATTACTGCTATTTACAAGGCATCACACACACAAGGCTCTGCTTGCCGAACTCCTTGCCACAGACCTGTGGCTCCCACAGTTTCTGCCAAGGGCTTGCAGCAGTATTTTCCCCTAATTCCCTCTGCTTCAGGCATCAGATCTGTATCTGGTGTAAGCCTTGGTGTAAAAAATAGAGAGGGTTTCTCTGTGGTGAGGATCTCATGCCCTCCCAGCTGCCTCGTGGAGGGGGGACCCTCACATACACTGGAAATGCCCAGGGGAGTGGCAAGACCCACGTGTGCATACAGGCTCACAGCCCTGCTGCCCAGCATCTGGGGTGCACACACAGCTGCCCCCGCACCGCTGCACACCATCACTGCACGGCAGCTGCTCCCCAGTCAGAAATAGGGCCAGCCTCCCGGGGCCGCAGATATTTAATTAGCTGGATCTGTCACTCGCAGTGCTCGCCGCTCCCCCTGGCCCCAGGGAGCAGCTGCCAGGCATTGAAGAGCCCTGGGAAACAGAGCAGGCAGCAGGATCCCTCCCAGCACTGCCCATGCACCTCTGGGACGTCTGTCCAGCACTGACTCAGCCAGCCTTCGAAGGGTTAATCCAGCTGTGCTTCTCCCTCTTACCTCTGTTCTCCCCATCCTGGGCCACTCTGTCCTCCTTGGCAGCCAGCTGAGACTGTGCCATCAATGCCCCCGAGAGGGCCAGGAGCCCCGAGGTGCCGCTGACCCCGCTCAGGCTAGAAGGCTGCATGCTGGAGGGGTGGGGTGCCAGCGGGATGGGGGATGCATGGTGGGAGAGGTGCTGAAGCTGCTGCTGCTGAAAGAGAAAGAGCAAATGGTCCTGGATCCGGGAGCAGAGAGCCGCAGCCATGCCCGGCACCCCTCAGCTTCCCCCATGAACGGCGATGCAAAGCGCAATGGGATGAGACACAACAGTGAGCACAAGGAGGGGAGCAGAGCTGTCGAGGCTGCACAATCCGGGTCACATCGCCTGCCCCTTCCACCCAGCGCACCTCAAGCACCTCCCCGCTGCAGGTGTGATCCCAACACATGGCAGACGAGCCCAAGCCGCGGCTCTGCCCCGCTCTGCTCAGGGTGGCAGGGCCAGGGAGGATCCCTGAGGCCATCCACCACCTTCGGGAGACAATGACAAACCCTCTCACCGCAAGGGACCGGCCCTGGGCTTATTGAAGCAGTGAAGACCCTGGCTTCCCCCATCACTGCACTGCATGGTCTGAACCCCCGAGCAGGAAAGAGCCTTGGCCTATGGCCGGGCAGCAGGACTCACCCCGACGATGCTGTTCAGCTCCCCCATGGTCACCTGCTTGGCGCGCTCCACAGCCTGCAGGACCTGCTGCTGGTGCTGGGAAGGAAGAGCGCGGGGAGGTGACACTGTGCTCCTGGCCCGAGGGACCACATGTCCCAGCATTGCCCCAGCCGCCCGGGGCTGCACGGCCCCCTCTCCCACCCCTCCAGCCCAGGTACAGAGGTCCCCCCTCCACCCCAAACCTGCCTTTGTTCAGGCTGGACTCGGGCTTGCCCCTTCCCAAGGGCCTCGAGAGAAGCCTGAGCAGCCAGGTGCACATCCCCTGCCTCCCCCCTTACCTCCTGCGTCAGAAAGGGTATAATCTGGGCACAGATGGCACTCAGTCTCTTGACAATCTCTGCCTGAAAGAGGAAGCAGGTATCACCACGGACCGGAGGGCTCTGAGCCCCATCCTGTCCCCTCCAGCGGAGAGGAGGGCAGCCAAGCACCCTGCAGACGCGCGCAGCCTCTGCGGAGGAGTTAAACTCTCCCCACCCACACCCGCTCAGCCTAAACCCTCCTGCTGCCTCGGCGTCCCTGCTGGGATTTCCCAAGCTGCTGCCAAGGGAGGACTCTGCCCAGGGCGGTGGGACCCTCCCAGGCTGTCAGGTCCCCCCCAGGCACACGGGAGGGAACCCGACTCCTAAATCCCTCTGTGGATCCAGGCCAAGCGGAGCTCTGAGCTGTCAGTCCCTTCGCAGCCCAGCTGGCTTTGCTCAGCCCAAACCCATCTTGGCTTTGCGGGCTGCCGCTCTCGCAGCCAGCGGGCAGGCTGGCAGGGTAGGAGGAGAGCTGAGCCGCAAGCGCTGGCAGCGGGCCATCGGCACGCTGCTTGCTCTCCCCCTGGCTTCGAGTCCAATGTTCAGGGAGAGAGCAAGGGGGATGCAAAATTCACACAAACGAATTCAGCCCTCTCTACATCGTGCCAGCAAAGCCCTGTGAGGCACCAACAGTGGTACCTCCTCTGCCCTCCCTGCCCCAGCTGGAGCAGGGTCCCCCACCGCCACACCAGCCGAAGCCCCGGGCCAGCCGGCAGCTCTCCCTGCTCTGGGAGCAGAGGCACAGAGACTCTTGTACCTGTCCCCTGCCCAGCACGCAGCAACGAGGAAATGCAGAGGACCTGGCGCGTCCTCTCCTCAGCCTGCGGTTATAGACAGACCCACAGCCCAGCCACGTCCCCACCGGGTAAGCGGCATTTCCCAAGGGAAGGGACTGTGGCTTCTAGCCCAGCCTCTCCAAAAGAAAACCTGCACCTCCGAGGGCAAGCTTGATTCCCCCACACCCGCTGCAAATCCAGCCTGGCACTGGCAGAGGGACTGGCTGCTCTGAAGGGTTTTCTGATCTCGGGTTTCCGACAATCCCTGACAGCATTGCAGAGAGGTCAAACCACGCACAGAGCCGGTGAAGAACAAAGGGAACATTTACCTGCTGCGCTCAAAGGCTGCCTGCTCCCTGGGAGCACACCCGTGCCCCACCAGCACCTTGGTCACCCGCAGGTCATGCCTGCTGCATCAGCCACCGCCCAGACACCCACGCAGGACCCCAAGAGCCAGAGACACCCCTCCTCCTCCGGACCTCTCCTGCCCACACAAGAGCCAGGAGCTGGACCTGGGTGGGCCACGGCTTCCTCTCCTCAACCACTTGACCATCGCCTCTGTCACCCCGTGTGGCTCGGGCCACCCCTGGGTCCCAGTCCCACCGGAGCTCAGAGCACGTGGGGATGGCAGGAACGTGGGCTCTGCAACTCTCCCTGCTAACAAAAGGAGCAAACTTGGAGGGGCTGAGCCAGCTGGAGGAATATGGCAGTTGACTTGCCACTTTGTCAGGCATTGGTCCAAACTAATTTCCCTGGCAGAGCGCCCGTGATGACTAGATTGATAAATCTGAAGAGGGAAAGCAAATTAATGCTGGAACAAAAGGGGAACCAAGGAAGGGTGAAAACACTCCTCTGGCTTCAGGAAAGGAAAAGGAGATTAAAAAAAAAAAAAAGAAAAGAACGACAATCCATTTGCCTCTGGGCTCAAGCTCCTGCTGTTTCCTCCATATTCCCTCCTGTGCCTGGGGCCCCAGGGAACTGCTGTGGGGAGGTGCTCAGGGCTCACCGCCAGGCTCTGAGAGGTGCCTTGGGATGGCAGGGAGGAGGCCCTGTCCCAAGGCACCTACCAGAACTCAGTACACCACTCACACCCCCCTTTGCCAGCCAGTCCCTCGCACAAAGCCGTGCTACATCTCCCGTGCCATTACAGATACACGGGGACGACGGAGGTAATTTTCCAACAAAGTCTACATCCTTGGCCTCTTCCCCACCATCCCCTGGCTGCTGGCCTGGACCCACCTCACTCACCTGCTTGTGCATTTCAATGTTCAGCCCGTAGGACATCTCGTAGTACTGAGAGCAAAATCACAACACAACCTGGTTAGGAGCTGCCCAGAGCAACAGGCCCGTGACCAGCCAAGGGCTCGTGACCAGCCCACCCCTGCTCGCCCCAGCCAAACTCCGCCGCCACTGCTGAGGGTCCCTCCTCCCCCCAGCCCATGAGAAACCGTGGTCCAGCACACCATGGGCCGAGATCCATGCCACAAGCCTGGGACAAGGTAGGGCACAGACACAGTGTATGCTGCTTAACATCTGTGATTATTACACTGCAACTTCTGCATTAGTTTAAGCCAGTGTAAGCCAGCCTTGTTGCCCCCCACATCCCCTCCTGTCCTGGCCTGTCCCTTCTCAGTCCTAACCTAGACCCACTCCCTGATGCAGCTGCCCATCTTGTCACACAGGTGGCCATACCTGAGCAAAAGCAAAGATGATGTCGGGTTACACCTTTCACTAGTGACTCTGGCAGTGGTGACAGCAGCAGATCCCATCCCCTCACCCCTGAAGACGCGGAGAAGGGCAGAACGGAGGACCTGCCTTCCTCCAGCAAAGCCCCTTTGAAAGGCAGCAGCCCACCTCTGGGAATCCCCGAACCGCCGGGATGCGGGAAGGGATCCCAGCTGGTGGGTGACAGGAACATGCCCTGCGACGCCGATAAAGCCTGGTACCCCCTGGCCTCATGAACGGGCCTGTCATCACCCAGCGGATAGGGGTTGCCCAAGTTTAGGTCTGTTTGCCTTTTGGATGGCATAATTTGTGTTCCACTTTTCCCTAGAGGGGCCGATAACATCAGATGCTGAAGGACAGGGAATGCCGGTCCAGCTCTGCAGTTCCCATCCTCTTCCCTTCCTTCCAGCAGCTACCCCCCTTCCTGCCAGGGCTGTCGGCAGAAGGCCTGGTGCTGGCTGGTGCCCCCGGCAGGTCGGTGCCAGGGCCTGTTAACCCCACACTGACAACTGCAGAAGGCTCCTGCCCTGCTCCTTCTAAAGGCAGCTTCCCCTTCCACCCAAAACACCAGCCTTGGCGTATCACTTCCAAAACACTCCTCGCCTTGGGAGAGAGACAGGGAGGAGGGGGACAAGGGAAAAAAAGAAAATAAAAGAGACAAAACCCATGGCATGATTCCTGGGCTCAAGCAGCACCGAGTGGCAGCAGCCATCAGCAGAAGAGCCAGCCGTTGCTAGGAATAACGATTAACTCCTTCCTAACTCAGGCATCCCCCACCACCCCAGCCAGGCCCCGGCCAGGCATCCCCCGGGTACGGGGGGCTCGGGGCGGCCGCCAGCCTCTTCAGGTGAGCGGAGCCCCAAGCCCAGGCCCTCACCGGAGGGCAGCAGTCAGGAATGCTTTGGGGGAGGCAGGGGGGACAGGGCAGGGGTAGCTCACCATGACATAATGTCTCTGCATCTCTGTCTTCTCGCTCACCAGCTTCTCACATTCCAGCTTCAGGCTGCAAAGAGGATCCACGGTTTTCATTCATGGACCCACAACTCCTGCCCCATCCCCCCAGTTCTGGCTTTCCACGCCA